GAGTCTGACGCTCTCTCCTGAGACTGAGGCTCTCTCCTGAGGCTGAGACTCTCTCCTGAGGCTGAGACTCTCTCCTGAGACTGAGACTCTCTCCTGAGGCTGAGGCTCTCTCCTGAGACTGACGCTCTCTCCTGAGACTGACGCTCTCTCCTGAGACTGAGGCTCTCTCCTGAGACTGAGGCTCTCTCCTGAGACTGAGGCTCTCTCCTGAGGCTGAGGCTCTCTCCTGAGACTGAGGCTCTCTCCTGAGGCTGACGCTCTCTCCTGAGACTGAGGCTCTCTCCTGAGACTGAGGCTCTCTCCTGAGACTGAGGCTCTCTCCTGAGACTGAGGCTCTCTCCTGAGACTGAGGCTCTCTCCTGAGACTGAGGCTCTCTCCTGAGACTGAGGCTCTCTCCTGAGACTGACGCTCTCTCCTGAGACTGAGGCTCTCTCCTGAGACTGAGGCTCTCTCCTGAGGCTGACGCTCTCTCCTGAGACTGAGGCTCTCTCCTGAGACTGAGGCTCTCTCCTGAGACTGAGGCTCTCTCCTGAGACTGAGGCTCTCTCCTGAGACTGAGGCTCTCTCCAGAGACTGACGCTCTCTCCAGAGACTGACGCTCTCTCCTGAGACTGACGAAGAGCGACACTCTCCTTAGACTGACGCTCTCTCCTGAGACTGAGGCTCTCTCCTGAGACTGAGTCTCTCTCCTGAGTCTCTCTCCTGAGGACGATGGCAGACGCAGTTGTGAGAGACTATCTGACCTGTCCCATTTGTCTGGACACCTTCCTGGATCCTGTGTCTCTGAGCTGTAACCACAGCTTCTGCAGCAGCTGTGTCCAGAAGCACTGGGTCCAGGACCAGAGCCAGGACCAGAGCCAGGACCAGAGCCAGGACCAGAGCCAGGACCAGAGCCAGGACCAGAGCAGGAGCTGCCCTCTCTGTAAGAGGAGGGATTCTAAAGAACTGGGAGTAAACTTTACTTTGAAACAACTGAGCGACGCTCTGAGGCTGAAGCTGCAGCTCTCTGAGCCTTCAGAGCAGAAGGACCAGACCCAGGACCAGACCCAGGACCAGACCCAGGACCAGACCCAGGACCAGACCCAGGACCAGACCCAGCGGTGGTCAGGATGCCCGGTCCACCCCCAGGTGCCTCCTCTCTTCTGCCTGGACGAGGCCTGCTGCTTCTGTCCAGTGTGTGAGTTCCGTAAACACAAAGACCACGAGGTGCTGAGTGAGGAGGAGGCGGAGGAGCAGCTGAAGCAGCCTCTGCGATCGCAGCTGCAGACTCTGAAGAAGACCAGACAGACCTGTGAAGACCTGCACAACAAATATGACCAGATCCAGAACCAGTCTGAGAAACAGGCTCTGCACTGTGAGAGACAGATCTCTGCTGTGTTCCACAGGCTGCGGCGCCACCTGCAGGAGGAGCAGGACACTGCACTGAGAGCTCTGAGGCAGGAGCAGGACAGACAGAAGCACCTCCTCATGTCCCAGAGGACAACACTCAGAGACAAACTGTCCTCTGTGGACCTCAGCATCCAACAGCTGGAGGAACATCTGCAGACACCAGCACGGGACTTTCTCCTGACGCCTCCTGTCCCCACAGGGCTGAGGCAGGACCAGGACCAGGACCAGGACCAGGACCAGACTCCTCTCCCCACAGGACTGATGCTGGACCAGGCCAAAGTCCTGGGGAACCTGGGCTTCAGGGTCTGGAGGAGCCTGAGGAGAGCAGTGAGACACAGTCCAGTGGTCCTGGATCCAAACACAGCTCACAGACGCCTGTATCTGTCTGAGGACCTCAGTGCAGTGACTCACGGAGACACTCTTCAGGACCTGCTCCCTGACCTCCCAGAGAGGTTCAGTAAGTACACCGATGTCCTGGGCTCTGAGGGCTTCATCTCTGGGACACACCAGTGGGACGTGGAGGTGGGAGATCATCCACTCTGGATCATCGGAGTCGCACAAGAGTCGACCGACAGGAAAGGAGAGATATTAGCTTCACCTGAATATGGAATCTGGTGTTTATGTCACAGAGATGGTAAATACTCAGACGGCTGTGATGAACCTGTGACTGTGGAGAAGAGACCAGAGAAGATCCGGGTCAAACTGGACCATGCCAAAGGAACCGTGTCCTTCTATGACGCTGGTCACGTGACCCACCTGCTCACACACACACACACATGGACTGAGAGGATGTTTCCTTTTTTTAACATCTGGAAAAGTAAAGACGCTAAAACCAAAGAAATACACATCTGTGAGACTCCAGGTGAGGACTGAGACCAGAGGGAGACCAGAGGGAGACCAGAGGGAGACCAGAGAGAGACCAGAGAGAGACCAGAGAGAGACCAGAGAGAGACCAGAGAGAGACCAGAGTGAGAGACCAGAGTGAGAGACCAGAGAGAGACCAGAGAGAGACCAGAGAGAGACCAGAGGGAGAGACCAGAGGGAGACCAGAGGGAGACCAGAGGGAGACCAGAGAGAGACCAGAGAGAGAGACCAGAGAGAGACCAGAGAGAGAGACCAGAGAGAGACCAGAGAGAGAGAGACCAGAGAGAGAGACCAGAGAGAGACCAGAGAGAGACCAGAGAGAGACCAGAGAGAGAGACCAGAGGGAGACCAGAGAGAGACCAGAGGGAGACCAGAGAGAGAGACCAGAGAGAGACCAGAGAGAGAGACCAGAGGGAGACCAGAGAGAGACCAGAGGGAGACCAGAGGGAGACCAGAGGGAGACCAGAGAGAGAGAGACCAGAGAGAGAGACCAGAGAGAGACCAGAGAGAGAGACCAGAGGGAGACCAGAGAGAGACCAGAGGGAGGTGTTAGTGGTTTATTATTATCAGAATCAGAATCACAGTCTGTACATGGTTTTTGGCTCATGGTTAAACACAGGATAAACACAGGTTAAACACAGGTTAAACACAGGTTAAACACAGGATAAACACAGGATAAACACAGGATAAACACAGGCTAAATGTGGGACCCATGATAATTAACATGTATAACAATAACGCTGTATAAACACCCACCTCCTATTTTTTGTTTTATTTTCATGTGTAAGTAGCATAACATGATCATATTTTTAGACAGGAGAAACTCAGGTGACCCTCGCAGGCAGGTTGGGACAGCTTGGGGGGGCTTGGGGGGGTCCTCATTGAAGAGTGTGCTCAGACGAGGAATGTGTGGTGATGTGGTTTCTCTTGTGTTTCAGTGCTAACGCCAATTAAAAATAAGAATAATCCTAAACACTGTGAACTTTCATTTATCCGACCACAGGATAAACACAGGATACACACAGGTTAAACACAGGATAAACACAGGATAAACACAGGCTACACACAGGATACACACAGGTTAAACACAGGTTAAACACAGGATAAACACAGGATAAACACAGGATACACACAGGTTAAACACAGGATAAACACAGGTTAAACACAGGATAAACACAGGATAAACACAGGTTAAACACAGGTTAAACACAGGATAAACACAGGATACACACAGGCTACACACAGGATAAACACAGGATAAACACAGGTTAAACACAGGATACACACAGGATAAACACAGGATAAACACAGGTTAAACACAGGATAAACACAGGATACACACAGGTTAAACACGGGATAAACACAGGATACACACAGGTTAAACACAGGATAAACACAGGATAAACACAGGTTAAACACAGGATAAACACAGGTTAAACACAGGTTAAACACAGGATACACACAGGATAAACACAGGTTAAACACGGGATAAACACAGGTTAAACACAGGATAAACACAGGTTAAACACAGGTTAAACACAGGATACACACAGGATAAACACAGGTTAAACACAGGATAAACACAGGATAAACACAGGATAAACACAGGCTAAACACAGGATAAACACAGGTCAAACACAGGATAAACACAGGATAAACACAGGATAAACACAGGTTAAACACAGGTTAAACACAGGTTAAACACAGGATAAACACAGGATAAACACAGGATGAACACAGGTTAAACAAAGGATAAACACAGGATACACACAGGATAAACACAGGATAAACACAGGATACACACAGGATAAACACAGGATACACACAGGTTAAACACAGGATACACACAGGATACACACAGGGTAAACACAGGATAAACACAGGATAAACACAGGATACACACAGGATACACACAGGTTAAACACAGGTTAAACACAGGATAAACACAGGATACACACAGGTTAAACACGGGATAAACACAGGATAAACACAGGATAAACACAGGATAAACACAGGTTAAACACAGGATACACACAGGATAAACACAGGTTAAACACGGGATAAACACAGTTTAAACACAGGATAAACACAGGTTAAACACAGGTTAAACACAGGCTAAACACAGGATAAACACAGGATAAACACAGGTTAAACACAGGATAAACACAGGCTAAACACAGGATAAACACAGGATAAACACAGGATAAACACAGGATACACACTGGATAA